ATATGCCGGCGAGCATCGATAAGTTCCAGAGACGGCGAAGAGACCCTATGTCCACGTTGGCGATTAGACTTACCACATGAGTATCTGCCTGCTGCAAGTATGGTCTGGTGAACATGAGACCAGAGATCTTTACTTTGCTCCAGTGAGCGCTTACTCAACTCGCATGTCAGCGTAGTTTGATGGGCATTCAGAACAGCTGGCTTCGCCATTTGGCTGTTGTCAATGCGATCACAGCGTCCTTGTGGGCGTCCGCCAAAACTTTTCCGCAGTTCAGTACATACAAATGCATGGTCGGTGTCTACACATGTGCTCCAAATCGAGCGACAGTTCTGGACGCAGCCTCTCCAGCGGTAACTCCTCGCAATGTGATCGATTTGTGTCCATAGCTGGTTCGAGACTGGTCGGCGCCAAGTCACCCTCTGGCGGGTGCTGTGTCGGAAATTAGTGCTCGCAAGAAATAAGCGAGCATCTTCACACAAATGAAGTAACCGCTCACCGTTTTCCTTATGGGAGCCTTTACCATGTTGGCCGCCCAGATGCAGTGTATCAGTGGATAATTTTCCAACTTTTGTGTTCAGATCCCCCGCCAGCACTAAATTGTCCTTGCTTCTTCTGTGGCGAAGGAGCTCGTTCAGTTGACGATAGAAGTCGTCTTTTACCGCATCATTGCTAGAGTTTGTGAGTGCATAGGCAACAATGATGAATAGATACCTGTTAGTCCTGTGCGCCTTCGAAGATTTGGACGAGCCAGCCAATCGGACCGCACACATCCGCCTAATGATTGGGCTCCACTCAACCAGAGCAGCTATAACCCGGGAACTCAGAGCAGTACCAACACCGGCTTGGCCGGTGCTCGAAGCTGCATCGTCACCGGATAGGCTCAATGAGAAGTGCTGCTGCTGTCACCTGTAGGAGACCACAAAGTGAGCAGTGAGCTCTTGCAAGCTTGTCTCGGATAAGTAACGGATATCGATCGAGAGGGTCTCTAATGTTCGGGCAGGTGCTGCCTGTTGACCGATCTGTAGCAATGTGCGTACATCGAGGCATGCCAATCTAAAGGATGATCGAGGGCTCTAAATGGTAGCCGATGAACTGGGCTTGACCGCTTGGTTGGACATAGGCTTGTCGATAGGGCTGGAATGACGCTCCTCGTTCACATGCGAGTTGAAACTAAAAGGTAAAATCCTATCAAAGCAAGTTCGGGAGGACCAATTATTGGGTGTTGAAAACATGGTCATAATCGAGAAGTTAGAACGGGACGATAAGGGTGAAAAAGCCCAAGAGGGGAATTAGCAGATGGGAAGGCTTGAGCAGTATCATCCAAATCCCTATCTATACTGTTCGATGCTACAGCTATGAAACCATTGAGTATCCTCTGCGGTTCCCAGAGCATACAGAAATGGTATTCCGTGGGCAGGATACTGTCAGGTTGCATAGGACTAGACAGGGGAACGATTAGGGTTCTCAACTAAAGCCTTTGGTTCAAAAACCTAACCGCGCGGCAGCGAGTTTAGCCTTGGACTACAAAGAGTCCATTTTAAGGAATTAGGAGCCACCCTCATTCCAACCTTCAGCCAAGAGGACCGGGTGGCTGAGTTTGTCTGGTTTCTAACCATTAGCCAATCTGGTATGAGTGGCTCTGAAGGTGCAAAAAACACCACCCAACATAGCTCTTTTGGTCTCTGAAGCACACAGACCATGGCACCATGATAAGGTCCAGCCTCATTGTGATGAATGTGGTTGACAAGGGTCAGAGAAGACATAGTTGCAGTTAAGGAACGGGACGTTGGACAATCTCTGAGCGGATGTTGAGCAGCAGAGACAGTATGTCCTGTAGACATAGCAAGAGTAAAGTTTGTAGTGTAATCCATCCATGGTTCGTCAGTGGGCGTGATACTACCCGGTCGTGCAGGCCGAAGTATATGGTTTTATTAGGTGGCCCCAACCCAGACCATTGACCTAGGATCGAAGCTACAAGGCAGCAGGACGATATGAATGTAGCGCGATCCGTTGGAAGCCGGTGACCAGACAATTGGTTCATACGCCCTTAGGACCGCAAAGGACCACGGGCCCAACACAGTTTTGAATTACAATGCCGCGAAAACAGAGGCAAGGGGAAGTGACTTTATTTAATGGCGACTCACATCCGCAACGTCTCAGTGTTATTAAACGGACATAGGTGGCAATTAATAGAGAGAAAGCTTGCCAGGCGAAAAACCACTACGTCCCGCGGAACCATTCGCTGGAACGGGATAATCCTGGATCACCCAGCTGGCACCACGAGGCGGTTGTTCTACATGCCATCCAAAAAGTGAAGCAGCCAGAAGACGGTTAGTGATACTGGTAAGCTGAATGGGTACTACTGTGTTCCACGTTCCAGTTGACACTATACATCTGTGCTTAACCTTTAGTGACACCGGATCGAGGTTGCAATTACCAGGTCTGATAGGATAAAGACTACGCGGTATTGTTCATGAACTTAGTACCATGAAGCTGTGAACATCACAATCAGATCTGGAAGAAATCCTCATTACCTTTCGTGGATGAGACTGTCTGACACACCAGATATCACCCTTGAAGTCCGTGTGCCTCATATTTGAAGCTAACCGTAATAAGCTAGGCAGCTGGAGGTTCAAATACATCCGCAGTGACCGCGAAGCATGTTGTACTGCTGTGGTGAAGAGCTCTGGGAGCTGCTCTCCCCAAACTCTGGCAACCTACGACCGGCTTGTCCTCATATAAACACCTCAGGTAGAAACAGACCGAGTTGAGAGTAAAATTCGGAGCCTACTCAGTAAGGGCTGACGTCTTATTCACTTGACCACTAAGATCCGTGAACAACGCTAGACACGGCGGTTAGGAATACAAATTTGGGTTGAAGTACGCGCCGTTTAGATGTATTCCACCCAAATTGATACCAGCACTGACTACTCCTAGCTTAACCCGTATCTGCAATGCACCCGTACAGCGCATTTGGACAATAAACGGGCTGGAGTGAATTTGCTACTGGATGACAGGGCATGTTACATCACTAGGGGATACTACATTTCATGATAGCTTATTATGTTAGGTTAATAACTGCATCAGACTTTTGTATTCTTTAAGCTCTGTTAGCTTGTCTTAACAGTGAAACCATAAATGCCGTAAAATAAAATGTCGAGCAAAAGAGACCGTGAAAAGTAAGCAAGCGTTTAGATATACAACTCTGGAAATAGGTTCCATTAGGCCATTCGACAGTTCTTGCTTCCATTAGATAACGTAGATTTTAGATCGAGAATCCGAAAATAACTGTTCTTATCTTGAAATTTTTCAGTGTTTTATGCACACACGTTTATTATACAATACCAAAAATGTAATGGAAAATCATAGTCTGTCGGATTCCACCGAAGCATGCCACAGGTCCCGACCCTAGCCCACCTTGTTTCGGTGCTCCTGACTCTCATCCGCTAACATTCTTACTGCTTGATTGATTAGACTATCCATCGTTTTGCTTTAACTTCCGTCTGATTGCATTGCTTAACCGGTAGTGTAACTGGCTTAACTTCAGTTACCTGTTGCCGGCATTTGGTCGCGTTTAACGTCCGGTTTTAATTTGAGAATCCAACTAATGTACATTTTCTGGTGGATATTGTCGAGGTCAGTGGATACTTTGTTGGCTTAACCCTTTGTAAAATAGCACCGTAGCTCACTTCTAGTCTTGAGTTCTGATTTGATTCTTGAGTTTTACGCGTTGCCTGAATCCAATGCCGATTTATCAGTAGCAACAATCGTTAACTCTATGAAGTTCAAAGCTATCTGATCTGTCGTCTGGTGTTCTTCAAAGCAGAGCAGCATGTTTGTTTTTATGTGGTAATAGGAGTTTGGTGGAAGAAATGGAACAGACTATACTGACCATTTTAATGAGCAGTAACAAGCACATCACAAATAAATAATCTTACACGGATACTAAGAGTTTCTCGACGTTTTTATGTGAATAGGCTCAGTTCGCTGTGCTGTTATGTGACTTCGCGTCGACTGTCTGTAATTAGCCACACACCCAATGAAAATAGTGAATAAATTTGACCTTTCTAAACTTTTGCTCCGAAAATTACTTTAGCATGCTCTTGGATAGAAACTACCTACAAATGCCAGAGTTTTCTTTTATAAGCCACGCAATATTGCTCTTGGAATCTGTTTTCAACATACATAAAAGAGCAAGCAGTTCTGAACAACTGACAGTTGTTATGGCTGATCATAGACATTCCCTGCACATAAATCTACATATTAGATGCATTTATCTCTTACTCAGTAAACACATCTCTGAATGGTTCCTCCCGGCCATGCCGTGATGATTATCGGTTCATAGATATTACCTTGTTTTATGGAGTCAATTCTACTCAACATCGGCATGCGATATTAGCCAGGTCAATAACAATTGGGCTCCAGAACATAAAGTGTAGCGCAGATGCAAACTTCTTTGGTGGTAATTACGGTAGCAAACTTTGTAATATTTGCAGCAGTCGAAAACTAGTTCCCTCCATGAATTTTTATGCAATTAGGAGCTAACTTTTCAGTAGGTATGAAAGCATCCTGCCGATCATAATTCGTTAAACTAACCAAAAACTTGCCGAATATTTAGAACGGTTTGTTACATAATTGTGTTGGCCAGAACTCCCATTGCACTCATCGGAATTTGCGCCATGCCATTCTGCATTTGTTACTTACTGTTAAGCGGCCCAAATTGTGTTACACACATCTTACGCTTGTGCGTTGATCTTTAGGTGCATGGATGCTCTGAGCAACACCTTAAAACAGTCACCTATTTCAGCTTCATTTATGATTTGACTGCAACCTACTGCTAGACGTTGGACCAATCACCGCATTTTAGTCCTTAGATTACTGTTCCTTATTAGTCTTTAGGATTGCAGTTATGTTTGTTCGAATACCTGTTGACCAAAATCCAGGCTATAGTGCTCACGCGTTACTCAGTTGGTTCATGCTGGTTTTGCTCCCTGTTGCAGTTACACCATTCGGTGAGGGATACTGTGTTGAAGAGTACTTTCAACGCTACATTTTCCAAAGGTTGCGCGGACACTGAAGTGCAGTCTGCACCTGCGGTAATCTGCTATATTTAGCAAAAGATCAGTTGACCAGATGATATTCCACAAGTGCTTATTTTTACACACAATGCACTCTTTACACAACACCGTACTATGTGTTCTGCTGGATATACAGATAAACAATATCGAAAGCTCACAACCTCAGGAAAAATACCAGCCTTACCGCACAGCTCTCAATGTATTCTTCCTCAAGAGCCGCTAGTATTCCAAAGGTTGTTAAAAATACACTGACTGAAAGCTTGTCACAGTGTTCTCTTTCTTTTGACAATTATTTGGGTCAGTCTGCACAACTTTACACAAGCAATCATTGCTGGAACGACAACGCCTCGTCTGGGAGGTCACTACTCTACAAAACTCTTGTACTCACCAACAAATAGTGCAATCATATGTACCAAAATACTGAGGTTCGATTAGACAAACAACTTTGGGTGCTTACTCAGAACATTAATACGGCTGCTGCCGTAGCTATGCAGCTGGTTGGACTCGCTATGAATGAATCCTTTAAACGTGCGACCTAACTATCTAATCGAGAAAACATGTGCTCTTCTTCTATGTTTGTGTTTGGTATGAATTTGGAACTCCATACTCTAAGCAAGTCCCCTCCACCTCAGGCCAAGGCTTCCTGCTGATTTTGTCATGATTCTGTATTCCAAAATCCTCAAAGTTCTCACGTTTGGTTGTGAGATATTTTTAGATGCAGCCCACTCACCCACTTTCCCGTTTAGCCAACCGACACCCAAAGACATGGTATTGTTTGAGGGCTATTATTCAATTTTATTCCACCGAGCCCCTGAATTATAGAAGTGAAACCGCGGTTTACTACCATCGTAAAACACATAAATAATTGAGCTTTAATGTTTTGCTCTCAATAGGTTAAGGATACAAGCTACATGGCCTATTTACTTTTTAGATACGGTAACACTGATTGTCTAGTCGCATTATTCCGTCACTCTAGCCAGTTTGTAAGTTATCCACCACTAATCTGCAGTACACGTTGTTAGTACATTCACTCGAGTCGGATTGGTCAGCCCTACGAGGCGGGTATCTGTTTTGAAAATATTTTTATCGCCTTAACGTCTGATTGACGTCTGCGTTTGTGATGCATTTGCCTTTGAAACCTACGGGTTATACGCCTCCGTATTCAAGTACGTTTGGACATTTTTACACTTATACGAAAACGCTTTCTGAAGGCAATCGAGTTGTCTTGACTTCCTGCCTCTCCAATCCCATTTGCAGTCGCTCTTTCTACTTTTGTGATATGTGCCTGCCCACCCAGAATTCCATAGGAATTGATCGATATCCCAGTCAAGCTTCATTATCCGTGACCTTGTCAGCCAGTGCACCTGCATAACCCATCAAAAGGACCGGTAGGCCATACCGACCGTTCCCTTGCCCTTTGAGACCAAGGCGCTCTCTTGACCGGTGTGCGCAGCTATCACAGTAGAAAAAGTACAGAACGTCAACCAACTCACTACGTCAGGTTACGATACCACGCCGAATGGCAGAAATTAAGCTACTGCGAACCCAAAGGGTTTGCAGGCGAAAGGTGTCGGTGGATGTGGAGGATGCGATTGATTAGTCAAATTAGGGTTATCCCGTTTGGCATCATCCAAAGTGTACTAAGTTATCCCAACAACAGGTGCAGAGAGGAATAGCTCCCAAGACTTCTTTTCGTTTTTGTACGACGTGTCTGACCCTCCCATTCGTCATGTGGGTGCTTATCCTAGTGCAAAAATGCGACCGGTTAACAACAGAGCCTAAAAAGCATCTGAATGCTAAGAGTACTTCATTGGAAGTGAGTCTTCATCAAAAAATCCTAGTGGACTCTTAGCAAAGAAATGTAGCATGTGTTCCTTACCCTGAATCATCCTCAGCCAAGACCCTATAGCCGTGGTCCCCTAGAACTTTGGCAGAACGTCAGGTGGAAATTTACCTAAGCTCCGAGAGCCAACACCCGGAAGGGGAGTTTAATCAAGTTTTACCAGTGTTGACAACATCTGTCATTAACAAAGCGAAGCAGCGGAACACCATCCCTCTGTATATGCAGCTCATATGTCTCTTATTAAGCTAACATCCCTTAATACGTCAATTACTTACGCAGTGATTGCTGCAAAGTTTACCCGAGAGGCCGCCCTTGCGGTCGCTTCTTTTACAAACACCGCAACGGGGTATAGAGACAACCAGTAGCCAATCATCACTTTGCAGCAGGTACTGAAAATATCACCCTACCTTGAAGCACAACGACAAAACTGTAGTGCCCTGACTGTTAGATGCATAGCTCTCTCTGAATCTACAGCGTCCCGTTAAGGGACAGGTTGCCTGACGGTCAAGACCAATGTAACTCATTGTGCATTTTGATAAATATCAAAGCCAAACTCACAAATGTAATGCGAGTTACTCATTTCCCGAGCTTAGCACACCTAGCCGAACCCAGACTTATTAGAAAGACATTAAAATCCACCACTGATGTGGAAGACGTTCTATTCCCTGCAAATGTTTTATAGGATACGTATCTATACTGGCTGCCCTTGAAGCACGTAACAACCAAAAAGAAACACCTCGAATGAACACTGCAACAAGATGGTGTAAAACATTCGTCATACCTAGCTTGCCAGAGCTTCGTTCCAAAGACAGTCAAGTGGCCGGAAATCACGACGTAGCACAAAAAGCATACATAAGTAAAAATTTCTTTGGATAATGTTGTATTGCGAACGCGCTCTCACAAAATTAGTGAGGATGGGGCACAAGAATCCTAAAACTCGTGCTTCAGTTAGGTCAAACAAAAAAGCATACTTCAGGTCGATGGCGGAAAAGTCGGTAAAACCTTCCACTGGAACTTTGGCTTAAGTATAAAATGGTCATGCAAAGTTAAGATATCAAATCCACTGGAATTGCAAACGCACCGGCGATGGGACAGGAGCTTTACTCGATTCCGACGTCGGTCTAGACGAGGATTGTGACACCTCTTGGCCGAATCAAGCGAAAAAACAACGTATCATTATTTCCTTGGAAAAGGCTAATGGCCACTCTCAAATCTTTCGGCATTCTCCCACATCTGGCTACTTCAACATCCCTGTGGGCGCCTAGAGACTGCAAAGCTAGCCTGCTTGTATACGAATGCTCAGAGCATATGCAATAATCTGTCCGAACTGAAGTATCGACAGCTTTATTTGCTTTGTGATATCATCGGTGTCACGGCAACATGGCAACACGCTGAAATGCCGGACGCTGAAGTTTTGCTGCCGGACAAAGTAACCATGGTATATTGCGAGCAAAAAAGTGGATGCTTAGCAAGTCT